CAGAGTCCAGACCAGAAAGCTGCTTTTCCACGTGATGCCATCCGGAGTGATTTTCCTGCCAGCCTGGAGGGCTGTGCACGAGATCCAGCTGAGCTGCCAGACTGCTGGGCAGCACAGAGGGCTGGCAGGGAGAGGAGCCTTAGGAAGGTCTCTCTTGGAACTTATTTTTAGATGAAGGTGCTTATTCACTGCTCTTCTGCTTTTCTGTAGCTGCAAAATTCACATCCCTCCTCTCTCTCTCTGAAAAGGAAGAGCACCTTCTCTGGAGATCCCACGTGTGCTGTCCTGGCTCCAGCTCTCATGGACCTCCTGTAGGATGTGGTTTTCCTCCTCCTCCCTCCTGTTTTCAGCCTATTGCTCCTGGGAGTTGGGTGGATCATGTGGTGAAGGGAACAAACCCACCAGATAGTGCTGTGGTCTTGCCAACCAGCCCCAGAGCAGCTCTGCAGGAGCCACCAGGAGCAAAGGCAGGGAGCAGGTCAGCAGTGACACAACCAGGCTGAGCCTTCAGCAGCTTGGCCATCCCACACGGCTGCAGCTGCAGCTGCAGGGCCTTCTGAGCAGGTCCTGTTTGGAAAACAAAATCTCTGCTTTCCTAGGAAAACTGCAATAAAATATGTATTAAATTGCTGTCTGGAGGGTTCTAATACAGACAACCAGGAACTTGTGTGAGGCAAAGGCTCATTATAGCAGGGTGTTCAGAAACAGGAGGGCACAGTTCCAGGTGTGTTCTTTGCCTGCTGGGTGAGGGGACAGGGAGCAAAGGTGCCATGTGGCTCTTGATCCACAGGTGACCCTACAGGTACCTGCCCTTCCCATCGTGTGGCTGCAGTGAGAAATGAGGGGATTCCAGGGAGGCAGGGAGAGTCTCTGAGAACAGAGAGTCCTGGGATAAATTGCTTGGGAAGGGTCCATGGCAGGAGACCTTTAGGATCAAACAAGGTAAACATGAGCTGAGAAAGGTCCAACGCTGAGATTTTATAGTAAAATGCTTTTAAGATCCATATGATGCCGTTGTAAGTTTTTTAATCTGAACAGGTGTCTTATTTGGCTTTTTAGAGCTGTTTTGGGAAGGCTGAGTGTCTTTCATATGGTAATGCTTTCATTTATCAACTGTTTAAGTCTCTGTTCTCCTCAGGTTTTTTCTACTGATTGTGTGCCAGGCAATCAGTTTTGGGTCTCTGCTTTGGAAGGGATTTGAGAGTCAGGGGGAGGGAAAGGAGGGAGAGGCAGGTCTGAGTGTTATTCTAATTAAAAGAAAATATCTTTTGGAAGAAAACAGGCAACTATGAGCAACAAATTCAAAGCAGCCAGTCAGAGGTTAGAGCATAACAGATGCCTGGTTTTAAAGGGCTGAGTGGGTGGGAGATAACCTCCCCATCATCCCGGGCTGAGGCTTGGCAGGGGGGTTTGATGGCATTGCAATAGGGGTGGTGTTGGGTTTGGGGTTTTTTAACTGGAGGAAAAATGTGGGTGAAGCAGAATTGGCTTTGGTTTCCGTCTGAAAAGCCTCCTCAGTTCAGTGCCATCCCTCTGTGGGTGTGCTTCTGTTGTAGTTATTAACAGTTGGAGAAGCCATCAGTGTCCCCAGGCTTGGAAATTGTCAGCCAGTTTGGCCAATCTCACTGAAAACCAGCACTGGGAAGCCTTGTTGGTGAAGGGGAGTTGTGGGGTGGTCACAGGGGGTCTCTGAGTTAGTGAGTGGTGCAGAATAATTTATATTTTACACCCTGTAGTCTTTATGAGCTGAATGGTGACCTTTAAAAATGCCAGCAAAGAACCTTCAGGGTGCTCAGCAACACCAAAAGTCTCCTTTCCCAGTGGTTTGATACCCACAAGGACACGGCCCTGAGAGCCCATTTTTAGGCACCCCTTTGCAGTGTCTGGTGAGGGATGCTGGGCGGGATGGCAGCAACAGCAGCAAAGTCCCAGCTGTGATTGGCACAGGCAACACATCCCAAGGGTGTTTTAATTAATCTGTTCCAGAATTTGGTCAGCTCTGGGTGGATGCATGTGGAAATGAGAAGCTGGAGAGCCGTGGTGGGGCTTTGAGCAGACTGTGCCCGAGGTTTGCTGCTGCTGTGTGGGGAAAGGTGCCTTGCAGACACATGAAAAGCCTGTGACGTGAAGAGAGGAGAGAGATTTGGGGCTTTGACCTCATCTTGCTGACCTGGCACTGTGCAATATCTCCCTGATAAAGCAAGCTTTCCTTATCCCACTTTTCCCTCATTTTTCCACGTCTCTGGCTCATGCCCTGGTTTCCCAGGTGGTGATGCTTTCTGAGGCTCTCCTGAGAGCCATCAACACACAATTCTCAAGGCCATCATTTCAACGAGGCTTTCACATTTGCTGCTCACTGCAAATGGGCACAGGCACCTGTTTGCAGCAGACATCAAGGCCAGGCACTTGGACTGGAACTTTCCAGCCTGGAACTGATGGATGGAAAAGGGCAGGCTTGGAGATGTCCAAGAGCTTCTAGCACAAAGCAGCTTCACTGAGCAGCAATTATTATTTATCTCCATAAATATTTTAACTTCTCAGGCAAAGCAAGGAAGAAATAACTCTTCAAGGTGAGATTAATAAGAACAAACCTCATTAAATCTCACTAGGACAGTCTGATGAATGTTTTAATAAGACGATGAGAAGGATTCCTTTGGAGCTGGTCTTCTTAATGACTTGTTTTTGCAATCCCAAAGAAATCATGTTAGAGGAGAGCCCAAGGGATTGCACAACCCAGTCAAGCAGGGGAAGGAGTACACCCAGCTCTGTGTTCAGTGGTGGCAGCTCCTGAAGGCAGGTCTGCACCAAATGCAGGAGGGGGACAAAGCCCCCAGCCCGTGGGAGCAGCCACCCTCTGCCCAGGCAGCAACCAGATCCTGAGCAGCCAGAGCTGGGCTGGGTGTGAGAGCTCATCTGTGATCACAGCAGGGCCTGTTGGAGTGTCTGATCAGTGCATTTGTGCCTTCAGCACGGGCAGAGTGCTGGCTGCAGGCAGGGCTGGCTGTGGGGGAGCAGCCAAGGAGGGGGAGACCGCAAAAAAATTGGTTTTGATCCCAAATGCAACGATATGTGTTTGTCAAGGAAATGTATCCATTTAATACACCCACCTTGGCCCAAGTGTGGCCAGTGGAAGATGAAATAATTGCCTGGGTGAAGGCCCCACATGGGAGGGGCAAGGTTGTCTGTGTTAGACAGATGTTATTAACCTCTGCTAATTGGATGCTCAAGGAGCTGCCAAGAATCTCGTGCTTCCCTACAAATTCAGGGGTGAGAAATCAGTTCTGTGATCAGAACCCCAAGGGTTTTTCCTTCAGCTCGTTCTTCTTTTATGATTTAATATAAAAGATAAAGGCCCTCTGGGTTCTCGCAGAGCTGCTCCAGTTGCCATGGAAATAAACCTTGCTAATCTCTTTGCCATAAAACAGGAATAATGTGCTGTGCCAGTGTCCATCTGGGTGTGCTGGGGTCATTCCAGTTGTGCCACTGTCCCACCTCTGCTGCTGGCTGGCAGGAGGTGGAGGAGCAGGACCATGCCATCAGCAGGGCTCAGCAAAGCTGTTTTGGGAAAGGGGCCCTGGGTGCTTCAAGCTGATCAATTGTGCTATTAAAATATTTTAGAATGTTCTCTGTCTCAGAAGGGTTTGGATTACCCTGGGAGCTTCTCAAAGAGTACATCCAGCTCTGTTAATCATCCCAAACTCCTTTTTCTTTAGTGCTGGGTTGGCCATACTGTTGTGGACTGGAGCACTGTAAAACATGCTCAAGTTCTCAGAGTAGGGATCTCCAAAGCACAAGAGGGGCCACTTTTCACTGCTGGGTGGTGGTGCTGGGTGAAGGTGCTGGGGCTCAGCACATCCCTGTGTGCCTGGCAGGTGTACGAGAGCGGCACCAACGTGGAGCAGTTCGTGACCCGGTTCCTGCTGAAGGAGACGGCCAACCAGACCCAGTCCCTGCTGAGCTCCGTGGAGAGTGCTGTGGATGCCATCGACGAGCAAACCAACCCCAGCAGGTCTGCAGCACTGCACCCTCCTCCCTGGGCCGGGGGGATGAAGGGGGAGGAGGAGGAGGAGGAGGAAGGTGCCTTTGCCGGGCCAGGGCAGCGCAGCAGACGCTGTGTGGGGCACAGGGGAGCTCGGGGAGCAGCTGCCTCTCTCTTTGCCTCCCTTCCCAGCTTCCTGAGAGCTCGGGGGGCTTTTCTCTACCACTCTATCCTGCACTGCCCACACTCTCCCACAGCCCTCAGGATCCCTTTTAGCTCACGAGCAGTGTGGGGGGAGGCAAACAAGGGGCAGCACCCTGGCACTGGGCTGGAGGCTTGGGGCTGGGGGCATGGGGCTGCTTCTCTGAGCAAAGCCACCAGTCCCACCCAGGGCACGACACAGGCACCCCCAGAGGGGTGGACATGTCTGGGCTGTGCTGAGGACAGCCTGCAGGGACAGCTTTCCCTGCCAGGGGTGCTTTCCTCCTGCCAGAGCACCCAGCAAGTGTCATCGTCCAGAGGCGAGAGGTGCTTGTTGAGGACAGGTAGTGCTGTCCCCTGGTCTCACGTGAAGCACAGCACCCTGAGGGTCAGTGTCACCCCCCCTGGGGTCAGTGTCACCCCCAGGTACCACCATCACCAGCTGTAACAGGACAGGTTGCCACAGAAGCCATTTGTCAGATAGTCCTGGAGCAAATCCCTCTCCTGCCATACCTGCCAGCCAGGAGGCCTCAGGATGCTTCCAGAGGGATGTCTTGGCTTCCCCAGGCTGTGGGCAGACAGAGGGGCACGTGGACCACAGAGAGTGAAAATACCAGCTCCCTGCTCAGACACCACTCCCTGAACACAGCGAGACCCTGGGCAGCTCTGGTGCCACCTCACCAGCTTTCCTGGGGAGTGCTATGGGTTTCCTCATCTCACATCTCCTTCTTCTCCCTATTTTGTGGCAAACTGTACAGAAAAAAAGCAGGAGCTCGTGGGAAACTATGAGGAGGAAAAAAACCAACATCAGGCAGAGCAATTAGAGCCTCTGAAAGACTTTGCTGGCTTTTATTTCTGATGTGTGGGCCTGGTTCATAATGAGGAGTATTGTAGTTGTTTTCTCACTAAGATAATAGCCAAAAAGAAAAATAAGTCCCCCAAAAAAATCTATCTCCTGCATCCACATGAAGACAAAGAGGTGGCCTAAAAAGCACCAAAATAAAGGGCTGAACACCAAAATGCAAAGGCAGAGGTCCAAGCTTGAAACACCTCATTAAATTGTGATTAAAATAAATCTCTGTGTGTTTTCACCTAATTTCCTGCCTATTGACAGGGGATTATCCAGCACCAGGATTATTGCACAGCAAAAGGATGTTCCTGCCACCTTTATTGTTGTTCTTGCTTCCTTATCTTGGGGACGTTCCTTGGGACCAGATCTGCACATTGTGTTCCCCTGTGTAGGGTTGAGTCCACACTGGCTGATTTTTGGGGCCAGCAGCAGCCTGGGCACTGCTCCTGCAGCACCCAAGGACTCTGTGGGGTGGCTGGGAAAGGGCACCTGGCAGCTGTGTTTTGGAGGAGCCAGGGGAGGGGCAGGAGGACGCTGGCTGGTGTGATGCCCGTCAGCTCCCTGGCACTCACCCCGTTTCCAGCTGGGAGCTGTGTGACCACAAAAGGTGCCAAGAGGAGCTGGGGCTCCTGGGCACCTTGGTCAGCCAGCACAGAGCTGCTCCTGGCTGGAAGGGACTCTGGAAACCCTCTGAGCTGCTCAGCCTCTCCCTCTGTGGTTACAGGAGGGAAGCCTGCACTGCCTGGGCACAGTGTGGGCACTGCTGCTCTGCAGAGGGTCTGGCATCACTGGCAGAGCTGCCAGGACTGTTGGCTCCCTGGGGCTGGCTCGTGCTGTGCTGGGCGTGCCAGCTCTGCCATCCTGACTGCCCCTGTGCTCTCTGGCTGCAGGCACTACCCCAGCAAGGCTGGCCATGGCCTGAGTGACCCCTGGTACGACAGCCCTGTGCCCAGCTACGCTCCCACCACCTGGGTGGTCCCCAGAGAGCACGGCAAGAACCTCCAGGCTGGTAAGTGGTGGCTGCCTGGGGTGGCTGGGAGGGCTCAGGGACGGGAGCTGCAGTCCCAGCAGCAGCACGGGGCTCTCAGGGAGTGCCCACAGTGCCCCTCACCCCATCACTGCCTCCTGCTCTCTGCAGGTTCCCCCGACACCAAGGCAGAGGGGTTGGAAGGGCAGATCAACAGGCTGGCCAAGCTGATTGGCAAGCTGGAGGACAAGGTAAGAGCTAGTGTTTCCCTGTGTGGGACTGTCCCTGGGGTGTCCCCACAGCCCCACTACCTCCCTGCTACGTTGGGCCAGAGGTGACCAAGAGGTGGCCATGCCCATCCCAGTGCTGTTGTGTGCAGGGACCACGGGTGGGTTGCTGGTGGTGCTGGAGGATATTCTTTCTGATGAGCTGACAGCAGCTATGGAATGTGGAACAATTGACTGTGAGTGTGGTTACCAGAGAGGCTAAGACTGTGCCAGAGCTAGGAAGGGTGAGAGGGCAGTGAGGAGGAGTGGGTACCCCTGGTCCTGCCATTCCAGGGACAGTTCAGGGACTGTGAAAAAGTGACAGCTGTTTTGGGGCAGGGGCAAGGACATGGTGTTGGGGATGTTGGCTGTGCTGGGAGCACGGGGAGCTCTTGCAGAGGGTCCTGCAGGGCATGAAGGTGCAAATGGCTCTTGGAGCTGTCCCCTGCAGAGAAGGGGGCACAGCCAGACATGCCAGGTGCTGGGCACAGAAACCCACTGGGCAGGGGACAGAAACCCACAGGCAGCCTCAGCCAATCCACCCCCCCAGCACTGCTCCCTCCCTTTGCAGACGCTGTGGTTTGACCTGCACCAGCGGCTGTCGGACAGCGAGAGCTCCGCCTGCACGGTGAGTGTGCCCGACTCCTCCGGGGGCTGGGGGTCCCTGCAGCCCCAGGCTCGGGGTCCCCGTGTCCCGGGGCTCACGTGTGCTGTTTGGGGCCGGCAGTACCTCCTCCTGGTGCGGAACGAGATGACGGTGTCGCACAAGCACCTGGGCGAGTTCTGCAGCTCCCTGAAGCAGTACCTGAAGAGCGTGGCCGGGGAGCGGGACTGCTTCCAGTGGGTACCACCGGCAGCCGCACGGGGGGTGCTGGGAGGGCTGGGGGGCCGAGGATGTTCAGCTGCCCTTGCAGCAAAGGGCACCCCACCGAGTGAAGGACTGGGCAGAACAGCCCAGATGTGGGATGTGGTCGTGCTCGGTCACCAACACCCCTCTGCATGGGCTGGGGAGTGCTGGGCTGGGGGGCTGCCCCTCCCTGGGCTGTCAGGGCTGGGTCACCCCTCGGTAGCCCAGCCTGCAGCACAGCTGTGGCTGCAGGGGCCGAGGGGGCAGGGATGCCCCGTGCTGGGGGCTCACCCCCTCTCCCTGCCTGTGGCAGTGTCACCGCGGTGAAGCTGCCTGATGGTGTCACCTTCATCGTCTACGAGTTCTGGGAGACCGAGGAGGACTGGAAGAGGTAGGAGAGGGGGTGCAAAAAGCCCATTTTTTTGGTGGGATGCTGGGGTGTGGAGGGTTGTTGGAGCTGCTGAGCCCCTTGCTCTGTCCCCTGTCTGACAGCAGGGCCAAAGAGCTGTCTGTCTGTCCTGGGGTTGTCCCTGTAAATGGGACAGGGGCTTGGGGTGGGTTTCTCTGCACCTCCCACCTGGGGATGCCTTTGCATGTGGGAGGCATCACTGTCCTGAAGCGAGGCAGGGTGCTGTGCTAAAGGGGAGGTGAGTGGGATTGCTGGCACCCGGCCCCTGCCTGAGCCCACGGAGCTGTGGGGGGCTGGGATGGTGTTTCTGGGGTGGGGGGTCACCCACTGTCCCACCTGGATGCAGGCACCTGCAGAGTGCCACCTGCAAGGGCTTCCAGCACGTCAAGGTGGACACGCTGAGCCAGCCCGAGGCCGTGTCCAGCGTGGCAGTGCCAGGTAGGAGGGCAGTGCCCTGCCCTGGGGGGGACGGGGAGCCCCTGGCAGCCAGCCCCACTCCAGTGGTTGGGGGTCAGGGGTGGGCAGGGGGCCTGGGCTGGCTGGGGCAGGGGGGTTGGGGTGGGCTGGGCAGGGGTGACCCTTCTGTGCTGTTCCCCTGCAGCTGCCTGGTGCACCCTGAGCAGAGACTGACCGTCGGTGCCGGGGGCCGCCAGACCGGCCCCTCTGCAGGGTGGCCGTGACCCCCTGCATGGTGGGGAGTGGGTGTGACCTGACTGGAGTGAAGGAAACCCCCATGTGTGTCCCCACCACCCCATAGAGTCCTCCCCCAGCTACCCCATCACCTGGATCGTCTCTCCCTGGCATGAGGTGGTCCCTGGGAAGGGAAGGTCTGTCAGGGAGGGGCTGGCAGGGGTTGGGGAGGGGGACATCCCCCAGACATAGGCAGGCAGGGATGGGCAGGGTGCAGGCAGCCAGGTATTGGGAAGTAGAGGTGGGAGTGGGAGGCTGGAGCCCCTCCTGAAAGCAGGGAGTATGTTGGAGGTCCGTGCTAGTTCCCAGGGCCACCCAGGGAAGGGGCTGGGGGAGTTGAGGCTGTGCCTGGCACAGTGTGTGTGTGCCTGGGGGAGTCAAGGTGGTGGCAAAGGGGGAATGATCCCTGCTCTCAAGGCAACCCTTAGTCTTTTCTGGGCAGGGAGGGTCCCAAGGGGTTTCCTTGTGCAGTCCAAGTGAGTGCCTTGCAGGCGTGAGGGTGGCTGCCCCCCCACCCCCTTCCTGGGGTCTGTACTTCTGTCTGTGTGTCTGTCTGTCCGTGCCCATCCTGCACCCAGCCCCCCGTGCACGGGGGTCCCTCGGGGTGTGTGGCACAGGACCCTCTCTGATACCCTGTCCTGTCTTTATTAGCCACTGTACAACGGGGCCGTGATGCCAAATAAACCTGATGGGATCCAGTGCTGTGTCCGGGGTCTGTCCGGGGCCGTGGGCTGGGGGAGGCGGTGGAGGGGCCATGGAGGAGGGGGCCATGGAGGAGGGGTCCTGGTGGGAGTCCCGGTGGGGCTGTGAGCCCTCAGCGCAGCAGCCCCAGCACGGCCAGGGCAGCGCTCTGCCCGCAGACAAAGGCACCGCCCAGCACGGAGAGGACACCCCAGGCGATGAGAGCAGCCCTGTGGGGACACCAGCACAGGGCCACTGGGACAGAGCTGACCCCAGGAATGGGCCACTCCCTGTGCCCCAGTCCCCTGGGCATGGGGCTCTCTGCAGGTCTTGCCCCCCACCGCTGCCAATCACACAGAAACTCACTTTTTGCGTGGTCCGAGGCTGCGGGTCCCAGTCATGCACACCAGGCACAGCCCTGCTGTCAGGACAGAAGCTCAGCCCCTCTGCCACAGCACCCCAAACCCAACCCCACTGCGGCATTCCTGGCCCTGCACCCCCAAAATGGGGCCAGGACGGGCCACCCACCACCCCAGCGATGCTCCCGGCACTGGTAAAACCCTTCCCCCCCCCCACTGCCTCCTCTTGCCTGGGAAGATGAAGATGAAGAAGGCACTGATGCCCCCGATGAGCTCGATGACTTTCCCAATGTCAGGGACGAAGAGGGCGATGGCGAGGGTGGTGCCCATCCAGGTGACAGTCAGTGCCACCCGGCCCCGCCGCTCCTGCGCCTCAGACACCGCCGCGGCCCCGCGCTTGGGGGCTGCCCACAAATCCTTCACCACCGACCTGCAAGAGGGGATCAGGGGGCTTGTGGCACCCAGAGGAGCTGCACCGGCTGGGGGGGCACCCAGCCCGTCACCACACCCTCACCTGCCCAGTAGCACCACGATGGGGTAGATGGTGACGATGGAGACGCCGAAGAGCAGGCGGGCGACGATGACGAGCGGGTCGTTCCCGGGGTAGGACATCAGGACATCGGAGGCCACGGCCTCGCCGAAGGTCAGGTAGCCATAGAGCCCTGCTGACAGTGAGGGGGGAGCCTGAGGAGGAGGGGGGAGCTCAAGGAGGAGGGGTGAGCCACGGGGAAGGCACCCGGGGGCAAGGAGGGGTGAAGGGTTTGGTGCTGGGTTACCCGTGAGGGAGTAGATGAGTAGGCAGACGAGCATGGAGAGCACAGAGACGGTGACCCAGTGGGAGAAGCTCTGGTTGCTCATGCTGCTGTAGATGGCCACACACGCCTCGTGGCACTGCAAGGCAAGGGGGATGGTGCTGGGGCCCCATGCAGGGACAACCCCCACCCCCAGCGTCCTCCCTGTCCCATCCCCAGGGACTTGCATCCTGCCCTGCAGCCACCTCTGGTGACAGCCACAGGTCCCCTTCCCTGCAGCCTCCCCTTCAAGGGATGGCATCCCCCCAGTCTGGGATGCTGTGGGAGGCTGCCAGCACTGCCCTGGCAGCTGGGACTGGGGGGCCAGGGTGACCTACCTGGAAGCCAAAGCAGATGGTGGGAATGACACTGAAGACAGAGGCCCAGGAGGAAGACCTGTGGCATGTAGGGAGGAAGCACAGAGCAGAGGGTGTGAGGCTCACAAAAGTAGAGGGAACCTCTGTGGCATAAATTGTGCAGCCTGGATGCCACCATGGGAACCTCTTCCACAGTGATTTTGAGAGAAAGGGGAATTGCTGGGGTGAAAGATGGGACTGGGAGCTGCCATTCACCTACCACTACTGTGTGCTGTCCCCAGCTCCCCCCACCCCACACACACAGGGCCCAGGACCACCCCTGCCCCACCTCCAGCCCTGCCCCACCTCCAGCCCTGCCCCACACCACTGCTGATGTCATGGAGATCGGGGCAGGAGAGACACGGCACAGACCCCCTTACCTGGAGGGCTGGGGGGGGCTGGTCAAGCTCAGGCTCTCTGCCTGCAGGTAGTATTTCAGGATGATGACCAGAGTGAGGTAGCAGGCAGCCAGTGTGCCCAGGATGCTGCCAGGACATGGCAGAGGGTCAGCACACAGCTGGGAGAAAGGGAGGGGGGGTCCCGTGGCCCTGCAGGTTCCCGGGAGGAAACCTGGGGTACAGGGTACCCAGGGGTGAGCCACCCCAGGGATAGCCCAGGCAGTACCTGGAGTACTTCTGGAAGCCAATCTCCCTGGGGACAGAGAGCGGGAAGATGACGAGGACACAGAGAGCAGAGAGGGTGAAGCGCTGGTCCACGTACCAGGGGGGCAGCTGGGGGGCCCCGCTCAGCGTCCCATTGGGGTACAGGGAGTCGCACACTGTGGGGGGCAGTGGGGGTTCAGCTGCACCCTGAAAGGTGGCCCAGGGGGGTCGGGAGCATCACACTGTGGCAGGAGCCCCAGGACCAGGGAGCGCCACGTCCTCAGAATTTCCAGGAAAACCCCGGGCTGAGCGTAGCCCACCCTGGGACCAGCTCCCCCTCACTCCCGAGGGCTGCCGGCCCCAAGCAAGCCCCAAACGCGGTGGGGGAAAACAACTCACGTTTCTCCAGCTGGTCGCCCACCACTCTCAGAAGGGCCACGGAGATCATGAAGAGGTTGAGGAGGAAGCAGAGCTCACAGAGCTTCCCCACGGCCGCCCCGCACACCGCCCGCACCACCCCCTGGTAGGTGGGCTGGGCGCTGAGAGCCGCCGCATAGCCCAGCACGGCCAGCCCGCTCACCAGGAACACCAGCGAGCCCTGCGGGGACAGCACCGCCAGGAAGCACCTCACCGACCCCCCGACACCCGCGGGGCCAGCGGGGACCCAGCAGGGCCACGACCAGGGCCCAGGTCAGCAGCCAGGTTTGCCTTGTGGCCCCGGGTAACACAGGTCAGCAAACGGATGGAGACACAGGGTTTAGATTTGGGTTTTGGGGACATGTATGGGAGCACACACCAATTTGATTTTAGGTTGAGCCACAAGCCAGCTACAAGTGTGGCTTCAGCTGCAAAGGGCATCCCCCAAGGCTGCTGCACCCCTGCCCCAGGCGGGGTCGGGACGGGGGTGCTGTGCGAAGGGGGGTCCCCGCCAGCTCCCAAACACCAGAGCAGGTGAACCCCCCTCTCCAGCCCATCCCATCCCGGCGCCCCTCGGCTCCCTGTGCCGCAGCCCTTCGCCCCCGTGTCCCCCCCGAGTGCCCCCTTACCAGCTCCACCAGGAGGGCGGGCACGGCCCCGCCGGCTCTGCCGAAGGCCCAGGGGAAGCTCAGCAGCCCCGCGCCCAGCGCAGACTTGAGCAGGATGAAGACGGCGCCGGCGGAGGAGAGCCCGGGGGCGGGGAGCGCGGCGGAGCCCCCCGGGGATGGCAGCAGGGGCCGGGCCTCGCCCGCCGCCCGCTCCATCGCAGCGCTGTGCGGGGCCGTGCGGGGCTGTGCCCTCCCGTGCCCTCCGCCGGGCCCCCGGGGGCGGGCGCGGGCAGCGCGGACCCCCCGCCCCCGCGGGCAGTGGGGAGGGGGCGGCGGGGGCCGGGCAGGAGCCGCCCGTGGGAACCCCCTCCCGGGAGCTCACCCACGGAAAGCCCCGTCCCGCTCCCACCCCGGCGCGGGAGCGGGCATCGTCCCGGAGCCCGCGGGGCTCCTGCACCGCCCCGGCTCGAGAGCCGCGTCCCGCTGACCCTGCGCGTCCCCAGGGCTCACAGAGCTCGTACAGACCCCGCAGCAGCCCCGGCAGCTCCGAGAGCAGGGCTGGGGCGGGCAGGCTGGGGGCTCCACGCTCCGCCTGCGTTCTTCCCAGCCACGAAGTTCCCACCACAGGGCTGGGGCCTCCCTCTTCCTGCTGTGTTCACCCCATCCATGAAATTCCCACCACGGGGCATTTTGGAGCACCCTGGGAATGGCGAGGGAAGGCGGTTGCATTAAGTGCCCGTTTGGCTGGTGGGCACTCCCTCACTTGCTGGGCTGTTGAGCCCAGCACCCTCCATGTCTCCACAGCACCTAAAAGTCCAATGGCACTTTCCTGCACTGAAAGACCTTGCAGAGGAGCCATCCCACCCCATCATACCCCTTGCTCCGCACAGGGGCAGGGGTGCTGGGACACCAGGATGGAATGACTGGAGCCACCGGGGACCTGCACAGAGGAGGCTGCACAGAGGAGGCTGCACTCGCAGGGTGGGGGGGCCCATCCCAACGTGGGGCACAGGCAGCAGCTCTGTGCCGCTCCCAGCACCTGCCACTGCCCCGGGCTCAGCACACAGACCCTGGCTGACAGCCTCTAATACATTTTTGATTTCCCAAATATGTGCCCTTCTGATCTCGGTAAGACGGATAAAGAGACTTTAATCAGCTGCTCGGGGGAATTATGGATGGCTAATTGTGCCTGCCACCTCCATTACATCTCTGCCACCTACAGGGCTTATAACCACTTAGAAGGGCCCTTCCAGGCCTTCATTAGCTGCACACCAAAGGCTTCAGAAATAATTGGCCTTTACGACTTAGAAATTGGCCACTGGGCTGTAAAATACCAGCCACTGGGAAAGGCTCTTAATTCGGACTGGGGCTTTGATACAGCTCGACTCTGGTTTCACGGCTGCAGTGGGGCTCTAATCTCTCATTAGTGCTGCAATGAGAGGAGCAAGACTCCTCATTAGCACTGACCTGAGCAGTGACAGCTTTCCAGGCTCCCTCTGATGGATCAGAGGACCTCAGACCAAAGGGATGCAGCTCCTCTCCCCCGATGGCACAGCAGCCCCAGGCGGCTTTTCTGCTCAGTGGCTCTGGGCTCCCTCGCTTATATTTTCCCCTCTTTCTCCCATTTATCTGGGTGCTCCAGTCCCTGAGCTGCAAGCTGTAACCCAAGGGTCCCTGTGGGTTGGCAGCTTTACCTGCTGCTGTGTCCTCTTGGCAGGTGGAAAAGGGGCTGTTGGTATGTTTTCCACATTATTGTCTTTGAAGACTGTCAAAGGTACAAAAATGCAAATGGACAGTCCTTGTTTTGGACAAATAAAAACACCAGCCACAATTACACTTTGCTACCTGCAACCCTTTCTGAGGTCTGGCCCTTGAGATTTCACACCTTTATTGGGAGATCTTTTGCAACCTGGATGACTTGCAGAGCTGCTGCTGGTTGGCCCTACGAGAGACCCCAATGCCACAGGTGTGATGGTGAAAACCTCTCCCTTGCCATCATAGGGCCATGTTTGAAGAGAGAGGAGCAACGGGCTCCAATCCCATTGGGATGGCACAAGCAGCCCAACCTTGGGACCATCTCCTCAGCCCTAATGAGCTTCTAACTAATGGTTCCAATGCAAAAGCTCAGTGCCTTCTCTGGCATAGCAACAGGACTCTGACTCTTCCTGCACTGAGTGCATCCTCATCTTCAGAAGAGACATGCTGGAAAAACCCACCACTCTCCAGGTTAGGGAAAATGGGTTTTTCCAAATCCTTTTTGCAGGATACTCATGCACTGGCAAACCCTATCCACAGCCACCCCTTGAAAGGCTTGTCCCAGCTTACCTGGAGGAATGTTCTCTCCTGCAGTGCCCTTTCCAAGGCCCAGCACCACCATCCAGGATCATAAGCCCTAACAGGATGGGTGCAGTCAGACCACCCAGAAGGGCTGTCCCTGTCACCTTCTCTTTCTCCAGCTGTGCCCAGGGCTGCCCAAGAGCTCACCCAAGACCCTTCACCAGTGCAGAGCACTTACCTGCCCAGGTTGCGATTCTGTTGACCAACAGAAGCAAACACCAGCTCCTGGCTCCTCCTGGGAAAAGGTGCTCATGTGGAGCAGTGATAGCAGCAGTTGGCAGGGAAAACCTCGCAGCTTTGCTACAAAAGAGAGAAGCTATTTCAGTGATGGCAACACTAACCAGCAGCGCATGGACAGGGGAACTTACTGAAGTCAATGACAAGTCACAGGCTTTCAGGCAGGACCAACCAAAGGACACCAGCTTTCTGGCTCTGTGACGCAGCACACTGTGCTGTCAGGTGCCATCCCCAGGACAGTTTTTTATTCAGCTCTTTGGGAGTACTCTTCTCACCACAAGCTTCTGCATTTTGAAGGTTTCCAGAACCTCATGCTCACTCAGGCCAAGCACTGTTTGTACAACTGCCCAGCTGGTGATCCAAAGGAAAGTTTGCAGCTTGGGATGCTGCTGGTAAGGATAAAGATATGGTGGGAAGAGGGGAGACATGAATATCTCCTCTACTCAACAACTTGCTCTCTGTGACTGCCAGTGGAAAGAAGAGCCACTTAGCACGTTGTCTTTGCTTCATATAGATAACATATTTATTGAAAATCTGCTTCACCAACAACGGTGAAATCATGACCAAAAATTACAAAACATCATGGTAGTTGGCTTTATAAAAATAAACTGCAGGAGTATGCCTCACTGATTTATACTGGTCTCTCTTGCCCCCTCCCTTCTTTAATGGTGCACGTTATACTCTTCAGCGTAATACCGTTCTAGAAAATTGCATCCCATCCAAAAAAATGCACTTGTTTTTCCTTAGCAGAGGTCCTTAAAGTGACTTTTCCCCCGCCCTCCCCAACAATAAATATAGAAAATAGCCTCTAAACAAATAAATTTTAGTTTGGTCAGCTTAAAAAAAAGGTCCATTTTCTCCCTCTTGGGATATGTAGTGACTAAGCAGCCATTTAAACAGTATTCAAGTCTTTGGTGGCTTCAGCTGCTTAAAGCTGCAGTTTTATGTACAGATGATCAAATGAGGTCCTTTCGTTTTCTCTCCAGAAGCCAAAGACTATGAGATGATGTCAGGTGCACGTCACTAGACCCATCAGTGCTGCCTTTGCTGCACCTTCCCCGGGAGCGATCCACGGCCAGGAAAGCCGCCGGTGAAAGGAGGTCATCTTTGGCGAGGCAGAGCCGTCACACAGAAGGTGTCTTTGGTGGATGAACCTGCTGCATAAGCTGCGGTCGCTTCACTCGCGGTTTCCGTCTCTTTGGCCTGCTCTTGGCTTTGTTGATCTGCACCACAAAGAACGCCAGGACCACCATGGCACCGAGGAAGGCAAAGACCGGAATAGTCTGTCCCACGTCCTGGTTGTACCGGCCGGGCATTATACCTGCAAAGGCAAAGGGGGTTGGAGGCAAGTCCTTACCACGTGAGCTCCGATGTCTGTGTGCTGTTCATGCCACCTACCTAAACCACCCGACGGGAACTCTTGTTCAAAGAGCAGGCAGCCATTAATCAGATTACATTTCAGACAGAGAGATTAACAGCTGCAGACCGATTAGTGAAAATAAGACAGGATGCTAACGCTACAGAAAAGCACCAGCACTTCCACCTTGATCTATCTGGGCACATGAAAGTATAACCCAGATTTCCCCTGTAACAACAATCTTCTGTTCTGCACTAGAAGAGAGATGCAGATGCTTGACCATAATCTTACTAGGAAGTGATTGCTGCAATTCCAGTCCTGATGGAACAAGGAAAGTGATTTCATGCTTGCTCCAGACACTGGGGGTGGACACGGTGAGAATGAGCTGTAGAAACAAACCCTTCATTTTTACAGGTGTCCTTTGGTCTAGCAGCTCAAACTGGGAAAAGAGTCCGTATGAGGCTTTCATACTGCTTCCAGCTGGGTCTTCAGTGCCAAGCTTGTGTAGGAGAGCAGCCCACCATTAGACTGAAAGCTGGTTTGAGTCCTTGCCATGATTTGCCAGTGTAATAACTTGCCCAAGGCACCAATCCAACAAACGCTTCTGGACTCTGCTTTTGGGCACTCACAGAAGGAACTTTAATTAGCAGTGGGTATGTGGCCACAGCTCCCAAGGACAGGGGCTGCTGCTGACACCTGTCAGTCTGAACAGTGCCAAAACAAATCTCAACTACACAAAATGCACCCACCACAATCCTCCTCCCAGCATGTCATGACGCTCTGTATTAAATAAACTCTTCATATGCAAAAAAAGTTCACATCTGTCAGCCTTTTCTAACACAGCCATACATTTACTTTGTGTGTTTTTTGCAACTGAAAATAAACAGTGGCCTCTCATATGGCTGTGCTGGGTTTTGGTTTTTTTTCACAACTTATACAAAAAGCACAACCAAACCAGCAATTTTCAAAGTTTTCAGTATTTACCTCCAGGAATGTCCCATGCTCCACTTTCTCCAGGGGACAATGGTCTCACTTGGGGTCGGTTCTGTCGAAAACTGGGCAGTGCCACTTTATCCAGGTCAATTGACAGTAATTTTTGATGTTTCCAGAGGTTGCTAGAAAAAATTTAAAGACAGAGGTGTCTGCCCACTTCCTGGTAATGCAAGGAATTCTCTAGCAAGAGAATTCATATAGAAATTCTGTCACATACAGAAAGTGACAGTTGAAACCTACGTCTAACTCACTAGTTTGGACCCAGATGACAATCTGCTCCATTCTTTAGGTTCTGCAGTTTGCAGGTCTCCAAGCCTAAACTCAGACACCACAGGGACACAACCCAGATGAGCAACTATTTACTAACAACTCT